CTCTAGCTGCTGTATTTCCTGCTAAGCTGTTAGTTCTATCTGGAGACTCAATCAGATTCATCTGTAAGTGAATCTTTTTCTTTTCTCTCTCTCTTTTTTTAATTAAGTGGAGCAGAGAAGGCAAGAATACTTCTTAAGCCATATGCTGTGTGCTTCCTGGGGCATTTATCCCATCAGGAGATGCATCATGTCTGATTGCCTCTCTTTTTGCGATGCTGAAATCTATCAGTAGGATCAGGTTTTATCAGTCTCATCCATCCATTATGAAATTCCCCATTAGCCTTTTAACAAATGATTTTAGCCTAGATCCATCATTTCATTAGGGATTGCAAAACAGTGGTAGCCTAATCTACCATTCTTTCCGCATTTATTACCATCAGTTATTTTGGTGCCTTGAGGTACTATTCCTGTGAGAAGGTCTAGATGCTCCGTTCTTTCCTCATTTCTAAGTTTTTAGAATGAGGAGTTGACTCCCTAGCACGCTACAAAGGTGACCAATGAACTTCTTAAACTACTATGCGTTTATACATGTTGAAATATTTCATGTGTTCTAATCCTTTGCAGTGACTGTCATTTAGGGGGAGGGTAATTTATTTTAATTTAATTTTTCAACGGAGGTGTTGGGGATTGAGCCCAGGATCTCGAGCATGCTAAGCCCCCGCTCCGCCACTGTGCTGTACACCCACCCCTGCAATTTTTGATATTTGAATCATCACACTCTTAGCCAGGTGGTGCTTCTGATTCCTTTGTCATGAGTCCTAGAATCTTTAAATAACCTCCCTGTCTTCTGGTAGGAAGAAATATTTCAGGCTAGTCGTGTACGTTTCCAGACCCAGATGTGCAGTGAGTCACTTTTGTTGAGGACCCCAGGTGCCTTTTATGGGGAGGGACGAGGAGGAGGCCCGGAGCTTAGAGAACAGAACCTGGGCTCGAGGGCCCTTGTTGCTGTTACCTTGGTTGTTTTTCTCTAGTTCTTTTCCGTGGGAAGAACTAAAACGTGTGATTTTTAAAGAGAAACTGCATCCTGAGTTATTATTGATATGTTCAATTTAATTTTTTTGCTAAAATTCTTTTATTTGATATTTTATTCTAATGCAGTTAAGTTTCTGATTATTACTCTGATAAGCTCTGACTGAAACACTTCACGGTATTGCACAGACTAGGAGAAATACGGAAGTGTCTTAATAACAATGTTTGTTGGTGAAAAAGCATAGTGAATGCAAACCTCCAAAAATCCATTTGTCAGTCATAAGAGCAAAAGCACAATATGGGAAGAGAGAACCAGGCTCTCCTTCCATATATGTTCTTTTTGTATTTTCCTGTTGTATCTTCCCCAAACTGAGATATTCCACAGTAGTTAGAATGGTCATCACCCTTCACCCTAACGGGGGAGCAAAATAATGAGCAGTAACCTGGAGGCCAGCTAAGGAAGCCACTTGGGAGCCTTAAGTGGGGAGGTCTTCCAGTTTCACTGTGATGTATCCTTAACTTGTCTTATTGGTTTAGTGCAAAAACAGAAGTTAATTCTGCTGAAAGGAGATTCCTCTCCTGACAGGGTTTGTGACCGCATTCACTGAATTTCACATTCTTCATCTGTGAACTGGGAAGAAATGAATGGTAGGGACGAGATCAGTAGGGTCCAGCTCCAGCAGGTGAAATGACCATGTACCAGGACAATGTCACCTCTATTTTGACTTACAAATCTAACAGTGGTTTTAAGTTGGCAAGTTAATTACAGACCAACTACATCACAACCTTTTCAAATGGCAAAAGTACAAAAAAAGAAGTGTTACAAAAATATTTCAGGAAATGTGCAGTCTCACATAATAAAAACACTAAAAAGGTATCTTGCTGGAGGGAATTCAGCTTGGGAAAGTTATTACCGAAGCTAAACGTTTTTATTTCATACAAACTATACTCAGAAATAGGTTTATGAGACTGATTTCTGGCTGAAAGTATCAAAGGGTTTATTTGTCAAGAAACAAATACCTTAGCTGACAAGGCTGGATAGAATGAGTCCACACCCTTTCAAGATTCCTGCGGTGTTATGGTACCAACATATATCCCTTAATGGCAGAATGGGGTAATTATGGAATTAATTATCACTAAAGTCGTTTTAAATGAAAAAGGAAATAGAAAACAAAACAAATTAAACTTGACACAATCTGATCAAACGTGCGTCAGTTTACAGTTTCAAGGTTATTTACAAAATAGCTACATTTACACAATAGATTCTATGCAGCATTCTAAGATGAAAGTTCAGTTAATTTACCTTGGCATGCTCTAAATGAGCAAATTACACTATTTAAAGAATCACTTGATACATTTTATTTATTCACTTTCTTTATTCAGTAAGTGTTTCTTTCTCTTGAGTCAGAAAGAGGAAAAGAAAGGATCTTACATATAATTGATCAAGAGAGGAAGTCAAGCACACTAAAAACTTAAAGAAACAGGTGGGGAGGGACTGGGGAGGGTCGGCAGTCGGGTGACCTTTACCCAGAATGATGCTCTTCGAAGATAAGGGTCGATTTTCTTAGAGCCATTTAACAAAGATTTTGAAGAAAAACTTCGTTTTGTTGTCCAGCCCTTTAATGTTTTCATTCCGACTCACAGCCAGTCCAGCTGCTGGTCTGCAGTAGCAGGGGTTAGGGTACAAGCTTCCAGCAGCTGCAATGCGAAGTAGCATATCCTGCCTGCAAGTCACTAAAAAAAGGAATCTAGAAGAATGCCTTTCCCTTTCAGATAAAAAGAAAAATTTAATTAAAAAGTTTAGGAAAAATAACCTTAAACATAAAATGATTTGCAAAGGAATCTTACGTAACAAATGGCTTGATGTTAGAGCACGAGGTTGAAGTTTTCATTTCTTTGATTTTTTGTTTATACACCTTTTTCTCTTACCCTGAAAATCTTGGTTTCTAACACCATTAACATGTTTGCTTCTGTTACATTAGTTTCAAATAGCAATAGCAATATTATTACTAGCAGTAGGATTATTAAGATGGTCCATCATTTTTTTCTTTTTGTGTGTTTATTTTGCAGCTTTTCTTGTCCTTATGTTATATTCTACTGGGGACGTACAGTGCAATTACTCTGCCTTAAAGTAACTTGAAATGGGTCTCTGGGTTCAGGCAGCCAATCTCTTACACAGTCATGTTTTCTTTCCTTTTGGTTATATTTATTTAGAAATTGCTTTGTCTTTTATTTTTAGTTAGTTTTGTCTTGTAACTTTACAAACCATTTCCATGATTCCAAAGTCAAACTTACAAACCAAAGATACTTCAGAGAGAAAGTTTAACTTCCAACCCTCCCTAATACCTCAGGTGATAATGTTGTTAAATTGGAGCTTATCTCTACACTTTAAAATATAAGCACATATGGAGGTCAGTATGGAGGTTCCTTAAAACACTAAAAGTAGACTTGCCATATGACCCAGCAATCGCATTCCTGAGTATATATCCGGAGGGAACTCCAATTCCAATAGACACATGCACCCCAGTGTTCATAGCAGCACTATTTACAACAGCCAAGACATGGGAGCAACCTATATACTCATCAACAGATGACCAGATAAAGAAGATGTGAGATACACACACACACACACACACACACACACACACACACACACACACACACACACAATGAAATACTACTCAGCCATAAAAAGGAATAAAATAATGCCATTTGCAGCAACATGGACGGACCTGGAGATCATCATATTGAATGAAGTAAGTCAGACAGAGAAAGACAAATATCACATGGTATCACTTACATGTGGAATCTAAAAAAAAAGTGATACAAATTCTATTTACAAACCCAAAAGACTCACAGACATAGAAAACAAACTCTGGTTACCAAAAGGGAAAGTGTGGGGAGGGATAAATTAGAGGCTGGGGATTAACAGACGTGGCATTTTATCCTCTTTGACTTACAATTCCTTTGTCATATATTAATCTCATAGATAGATGCATACAGTAACATCTATTTCTAGACCATCTGTAGGCTAGTCTCTCCCTACCCCGAAGATTCCAATGCAACTGCTCTGGAGTTCAACCCAGGAATCAGGAGTCTTTAAATCTACCCCGATGACTGTAATGTGTAGCCAAGTTTAACAACTTCTAGGCCAGAGAGACAGCTAAAGACTGATCAGGGAATGAGGAGGAAGAACCCTGAGAAGGTAACAGGATGGCGAGTATGACCTGGGCCAAAGAAATGTGATGAACCGAGTCCCCAGTCAGAACCAAATGTGACTATTTCCAAGCCTGCAAACTGACCCGAGTACAACTCACATCTGCGTGCTCCTGCCTGTGCTAAAGATGCCTTCGCTGCTTTCACGCCTGGCCTGGGGATTGGCGCCAGACTGATCACTGAGTAGGCAGATGGGGAGCGAGGTTTTCCTGAGACTGTAGCCACAAGGAAGGAAAATCCTTGCAATGGAGGGAGATGACCGCGGAGGCTTGCTGGGCACCGACCCACACACGCACGAGGATTGCTCCTCAGAAGGAGACACGCCCCAGCCTCCCTCCTCCTGTCTGACGGGCCACCAACCAGGCATGGCCGATGATGCGCCAGCTTCTAATGTGCCCCAGACTTCTTTTAAAGCCGTTTTCAACTCTGTTACTGTTAATGGTTTGGAAATCATTTTTGATCTGTATTACAGTTTTGCGTCTGTATCATAGAATTCTGATTCTGGAACTACTGATGCACTGGAATGCTAACGTGTCTAATGAGACTTGTCAGCTTAATTGTGCTACTTGGAACTTAAGGAGCCAGAGTTTGTCAGCATTTGGCTGACGCATGTCACCATTTACAGGCTGATCTTGGCTACTCATTAAGTTCACCGTTCTTAAAATTATATACTGTGAAATGAGCTACTTTTGGTGAAAGAAAAGACTTTTTTTCCCATCTAGCTGAGTAACTGCAGTTTAGGACCAAAACCAACTTGCAGATGTATGAAAGCATTCTGGTTTCGTAATAGTCACTTTGTTTAAATTCCGATGCAGAGGATGCTGTGTACCTGGAAAATGACAAAGAAAGAGAAGAGTACGTCCTGAATGACATTGGGGTCATTTTTTACGGAGACGTCAATGACATCAAGAGTAGAAGCTGGAGCTATGGTCAGGTGAGCCATTTAAAATCGGTCATGGTCAAGGACATTTTTACTTAATATTTTTGTCCCAAGTGTCACGGCAGGGTGATATGTCTCGATATTAGACAAGCATGATTCCCTGCTTTTCAGGATCTGAGACTCCTGGGTGGCCTGGGAATAGAGACTTAGAAAGGAACCTGAATAATTTATTGCTGAAACCACGTATTTTCCGTTATCAGTGTTACAAAGACGGGAGGTTGCGTGGGTGCCGTGGCATTCCAGGGAGATGGGCTTTGACAGCTGAGCACACTGAAATCTCATGAGCTCAGGCTTTGCTCTTCAGCCTGGAGTGAACCCACATTTTTCTTTTCTTATAAGGAAAGGTGTTTTGATAATGATGCAAAGGATACAGCAAGGCAAGTGCCCAACTCAAAGAAATAACTTCTTTAAAGGGTTGGTAGAAAGATACTGCTAATGAGAAGAGAGTGTTGCCATTGCATCAAGGGGGGCGGTCAGGGCTTCCACATCAAGGCGTGTGATCAGCTGCAGCCTCGATTTACTGTCTGGATATAGGGTAGCAAATGGTACTTCGTTTAAGATATCAGTAATTCAAACTGTTTCAGCTTGGTGTCTTTAACAATGGAGAAATGAATATTTTTTTTACCATGTGTCCACAAATGGATGCCTGTCCTGTGACTCAGAAATGACTTTCACTAGCAGCAGGAGAGCCGGTAAATGTGTCATTTCGCAGTGTTTTGGCTGAGATGGTTGGAGTTGTGCACCAACGTTCTGGGTATCTGGAGGGGGAGATTTCACAGAAACTGCCTCACAGAGTCACACAATACTTTCCTGGCTTCTGATCCTTGTTCAAACTTCCACATGGGCTCTCGCTGCAACTCTCCACCTGCTCCAGCCTGATCACTGGGACCCCTGTCACCACTGGCTCTTGTCTCGTCCACCCAGCTTTGTGCCTGCTCCTTCACACCGACCCCTCAGAGCCACACGCCCGGCACCCAGGCTTGCCCGCCTGCATCCCTGACATCCGGCCAGGCCAAGGATGTGTGTGCTCTTCCCCTGTTTCTGGACCCCCGCCTGGCTCCCCGGTTCCAAGCCCTGCCCTTCCTGAGTGACATACAACCTGCGACTACTGCTTATTGTCTCGTGCCCTTGCGTCGGGTCCCCTACTCCTAACCTTTAGTCGTGATCCTGTTTCCCCCGTGTGATGAGAGGGAGAGCTAATACGGAACAGCGTCATCTGCGTGGGCAACAAGGAGGACTGCGAAAGGGTCCCAGGCATGATCGGGGCGCTCTCCCGCCAGCATGCCTTTGGATAGGCACTGTGAGCACGGCCACTGCCTGTGTCTACTGTCACCCGGAGTCGCCTCGTTTGGGTACTTTGGTCCAAACAACCAGCCAAGCCAGTAGTTTGCAGTGGGGCAGGAAAACAGCCAGTTCCACTACGTCTTTGCCTCTCCAGCTCACGGCTGTCCTGCCCCGCAGGCGCAGCTGAGGGACGACACCTGGGAAGAACCGGGATCGTGAGTCCTCTGTACCCTGAAGGGCTGGGGGTGACTCATCCCCATGCGCATCACGTCAGTTTAGGGCGCAGGCACAGCTGGCATTCCGACTGGATTCTAACAAAGCAGCACACGGCAACGAGCCGCTAAGGCTGTGGTTTCTGTCGCAAGCCCTCGGGTGGGGAACATGCAAAGTTTCTGTACGCAGAGAAGCCTCGTGTACAGGGAGGCACAGTGTAGGTGTAATCTTCTGATTTTGTCATTTTAGTACTATTGTGTCTTTTTTCCTTTTTTTAGAAGATTCTGGTGGTGTGTGTGGCTGGAGGTTCTTTCTAGGGAAGCTGAACCGACAAGCAGACTCTTCCCTTGACGATACGATCTCCTTTCTCTGAGCCCTCCTGTCCCCTCTTTGACCCTGGGATCCACTTTGTCTCCGAAGAGCAGCGCCTTAGACAGACGCTCACTGCCCGAGGTCGCCCACGGCTCCCGGCGCCGGCGGCACAGGCAGGCCGCGCCGTCTGAGACGTGCCCGAGAGCCGTTCGCTTTCGAGATGCACAAGGACTCATGTTACTTTTGAGGTCTTGAGCCTTTGGCCTGACTTTTCGTAACTGGTTCACTTCATTGCCGTGGGCACTGGAGCCAGTGGGGTGGGGAGAGCCTCTGAATTAACCTGCATGATTTTCTGAGGAGCTTCAAGTCAGGTCATGGTCTCCGAGTACGCCAGCGCTCTAGTAGCTCCGTGTGTATTTCCAGCTAGCTTTTACATTCGTACTCATCTTACTGAAAAATAAAGAGGATGTCCCCTTCTCCCACCGTCATATTTCACACTAAGGATTATGGGTGATGACCGTATAGGAAATACGCATTTCTAGGTATTAGGTTGTGGTTTCATTTTACCTTTTGGCAGAGGCTATCTTGCTTGCAGTGTGGACATTAAGTAGTCTCCCGTTTTTTCCCTACATAGTTTGAGGATGGCATCCTCGACGCCTGCCTGTATATAATGGACAGAGCAAAGATGGACCTCTCCGGCAGAGGGAATCCCATCAAAGTCAGCCGCGTTGGGTCTGCCATGGTAAGAGCAACCCCGATTACTAAAATCAATTACACCTGTCATTCGCTGCAGCGTAGATGTCAGTTCATTAAGCGTTGTTGAAATGGTGGCGTACACTTAATAAACTTTTATTTGGGATAGACTGTAATTCCCTGAACTTGTCAGGTGCCACGAAACAGCATTCTCATCTCTGTGCTTCATGTGGCTTTGGCTTCGGACAAAGGCTGATAGATGGCACGATAGTATAGATCACTTGTTCTTAAGAAACCTCTTGCCTGGGGACCGAGGCGTGACCACAACAGAATGCCAGCAGCATAATCAATCAATCAGCAATCGATCAATCAAACATCAAGGAGGGCCAAAAAAAAAAAGCAAAAACCCACATGACACAGCTTTTCTCCACCTTCACACCCATAGCAAGAGAGTAAAGAATTACTAATCCTCACCTCCATCACAACGAGACCTCCCCGTAGGGCACTGTAGTTTATGAAACGGGTATCGATCCTTCACAGTGGCCACCTGAGAGACGTGGGGAGGAGGGGTGCATGTCTCACGCCAGTTTACGAGGTAGGAAGTGGTGTGGTGCCAGTTTGTCAGGGACACGGCCCCAGCTAGAACCCACATCTGCTGACCCCAGACCTAGACGTTTTCTACCTTCCGTGCTGGTCTCCGCAGGAGATGGTGGAATGTGGAGCTAAGTGCTACTTCATTCAATCAAAAGACTGAGCAAAAAATATTCCTTTCATTACCAATTTCCTTAAGGTTTATTTTTAAAAATCTGTCTGGAAGAATGTTGTCTTTGAGTTTAGGTTGAGTTAAGTGAAATCAAATGTTTTTCATATAGAAATATTCAGCTGAGAATGATATGAAATGTCATTTCTGGTTAGCTCTTAAGAACAAAGATTGTTTTATTTTATTAATAACTAGGCTACATGTAAATTTAAGAGAAGTGGAGCTTAAAAAGAGGGCTAAAAACTAACATCTAAAGGCAGTTTTGTTTTCACGTGTTAGTCTACATTGCATACTAAAAAGAAAATGAATTCTAAAGAATTGGGGGATTTCTTGATGGTAACTATTTATAACAGCATCCTTTGGACCGACAGTCAATCACTGCTTCCCCGGTTTCACAGACAAGGTTCCCTTTTTTCTTCTCCTTTGAAGTTATCATGATGGCTTTGCAGGGAGAAGGGGAGCAGCAGCTCTCAGTGGCTGGATGTGAGTTAATTCCTCCTGCAGCATTCTGAACTGGCACGCTCAGCAGTCCGAGCTCGCTCACACGTCGTGTGCATTCTCACGAATCCAGGAACCACTGCCGAGCACAAGCCAAAGCAAGAGGGAGGCGAACCCCAAGCAGCTTACCCAGTACTTTCTGTGGTGACCTCTGGCCAAGTGGAAGCTGCTAAGTCTTGAATTAAGCACATAGTCCTAATGCAAATTGCCTTGACATTTTATTAATCATAAAAAGCCTCTGAAGTTCTAATTTTGAAAATCTATAAGCCACTTTCAAGACTTAGCACTAGACAGAAACTGTTTGGAGGGGGCAGTTTGGTTGGTTTAGTTTTATTTTGGGGGTCAGGGGAGAGGCCCCACCCTGGGGAATGTCTCTATTTCCACCACCACCGTCATTCACACACACACACACAATGTGTGTTAGATAGTTTTCAAAAGCTTTTTACATCTATTTTCTCCTTCAGTCTTTAAAAGAGCTCTGTGAATCTTTCACAAATCTATTCAGTCATAATGATTTTAGAAATTAAACATTGATCCTCCAAAAATCAATCAAAGAGATGAAACTTTCCCCCAAAATCAATTGTTCTCTGGTCACCCAGGGAGGTTCTCTCCTGTTCACAAATCCTGAAAATCTATCATGAAATTGCTGAGGGAAGTTAAGCAAAGACTAGAAGAAGAAAAAAAACCCCTCGAACTTCTCAGTTAAAGATTTGCCTTAGAATAGGAGATGTTTTTAGGGAGCCTGGAAAGAAAATGTTCTGAAGTTGTGTGTGACTGGCCAGAACCCTGGCTCCGAGCAGTGTGTTTCCTCAGGGGGCTGGTCCACCCGCTGGAAGAGCAGGGAGCCTGCGTTGTCGTTTGAAGGCTCTTCTCAAATCTCTCCCCAGCCTGATCACAGAGGCTGGAAGCTCCTTTCAGAGGATGCAAATGCTGGAGCAGGATACATCGTGACATGCAAGTCACCTGGGAGGGGTAACTCACGGACTTCAGTCCATGCCGAGATGAGGCATGGAAGGCAGAAATGTCCTGGAGCAAATAGCTAGCGGGAAGGAGTGGGGATGAACAGCTTAGCCTTGGGGGCAAGAGGCTGAAACAGACAGCCGGGGCCCCATAGACAAATTTGCTTGCTGTGGTCATGGCCAAGTCCAGCACTGAAGATAGGCAAGGAGTTTGCAGAGAGTGGGTGGGTGCACGATGCTATATGAACACAGGTAATAAACAACTCAGGTTCTGCTAAATTCTGATCATTCCAATGATGACAATAATCATGGAAGTCTGGCTTTACAGTCCCCAGGTAGAAATTGGTCTACACAGTTCCCAGATAAACGTCTTTGTACCCAGTGTTTATGACCTCGGAGAGCTCTTGGTCATGGCGGCTGTCCTGCACACGAGAGGATGTTTGAGGATATTTAGCTGCAGCCCTGGTTTCTACCCAAGAGATGCCAGTAGCACCTCCCCCTCCAGCTGTGACAACCAGGAATGCCTCAGATATTTCCAAATGTCCCCTGGGGGTCAAAACCACCCCCAGTGAGGACCACAGCACTAAACCACTCTGTGACTCAGTTTCCTGGCCTGGGCAATGGACATCACCCTCTCTTCTTGCCCACATGGAGAATCTGTCTTCTTACCTCATTCGAAACCTGCTGGTTTTCATTCCTATGTTGAAGAGAGAGTGGAGGCAGTGTCACGTGGGAAGGGCCCTGGCCTAGGTCACATCGGACCTCTAGGTTCTAACTCCTCCACTAACTTCCTGTGTGACCCGGGACAAGTTACTCAACCTCTCCCAGCCTCACCTCATCTTTAAAATGAAATTTTGTCTCTGTACTCAAATCACATTTGTCATTCCCAGCGGCAGCAAGAATAATCTTTTCTTCTTCAAAACAACATTCTTTCTTCTATTTTTTCCCCCTTTATAAATTCAGTATCTTATTTAATTCTTATTTTGAGTTGCTACTACTTCACTTTGATGTGAAAATCGGAAAAGTTTATGACAATCTGGACAGCCTTGGGCTACTGGGCTTTCCCAGGAGAAAGAGAGTCTAAAAACCCTGTAATCTTATTGTCTGGGGGTTGGTCCTGAGATGCTAGAACCTTACATAAGCGAACTTTTCTTTATTGAGGCTCTCCTAAAGACAGTGGTGCATTTTACCAAAGCTACACTGCAGGTTGACTGAAGAGAGAAAATGTTTAAAAAGAGGAAATAAGAATAAAGAAGAAACTAGCCCAGAGTTGTGCTTCCTTCTTTAAATTGCATTGCTTGACTGCTGTTTGCTTTCCACCTCATCTCTGATACGACAGTCCCCATCAGGACAATTGTCAGGAAAATTTGAGAAGGATGCTTGGTGCCATCTGAAAACGTATTTCACTCACAGGGCACTAATAGCGCATCCCATCACTGGCCCTGACTACTGTGAAGTAACCCGACGTGGACTCTGAGCCCTGGCCAGACTATCAGAACAGGTGTTCTGTGCCAGGTGACAAGAACAGCACGGTCCCAGGGAAAGGACAGGCGGTGACAATAGCCTGGCTTTACTGTTGGGTGGTTACTGGTCCCTGCTTGTTTCTGCCCCATAGCAGATTGGATATGGCAGCAACTGTGGGCGGAAAAGTTCTCCGGGGAGGCGCACAGCCGCCCTGCAGACACTGCTCACGCACTCACTGTAGAAGCCCCGACGTCCCACCTCGGAGCACGTTTGCTCCTTTGAATTGCAGTTCACCAGTAGGAGAGCTGTGTGGATATGCGCACAGAGCCAGCACATGAGACCTGGAAGACTCTCCAGGGTCTTCAGGGTAAAGAGTTGGAAGCCCTCGGGAATGACGTCGCTCCAGCTCGCACCGCAAATAAGTGGCTGAGCTGGAACCAGATACTGTCCTTGCCCTCAGGTCAGATTACCTTAGAGGGCCACTGCCAACACATTAGGACCGATGACACAATTACAGCGCCAAACTAAGCAGCTTCTGCCAGCAGAAAAGGACCCAAGGGGACAGGTTCCAGAACAGGTGAATTTTGATATAGGGGAATAAGTGAAGAAAGGTGTAAATCGGAGAATTCTAAATAGCCAGAGGCATTGGGGAAAGAGTTCCCAAAGAAGACTAGGTACCAAATACGGCTTGATGGTGGCACTGGCGATGGTGGTAGCGATTGCTGCAATGATGCCGATGGTAATAAAACACTCAGTGTTAACTCATTCATTCAACAAGTATTTACTGAGACTCTCCAGTCTAGGTACTGGGGTACAGTTGTAAACAAAACACAGTGTCTGCCTTCACAGAGCTGACAGTCCAATGGAGAAGACAGGCTGGTAAGCAGAGCATTTCAGCACAGTTTTGGCAAAGTCTCTGATGAAGCAAGCAAAGGATCGCGTGAGAAGGCGAACCTGTCAGGCTTTGCTCAGAGTTTTCCGAAGAACAAAGCAGTGTCCTGACGAGTGCTGGGATGTTGGACAAAAAGGTAGAGGACTGGCTGGCAAGGGCCCAGAGCAATAATGAACCATGTTGTTATGCATGGAAACCCTTTCTCCACGGTGGAAATTAAACCCAAATAGCCAGTCATCAAAAGCACGGCAGGAAAATGCAAGCAGGTGAAACGTGCTCCTCTGGGGACTCAGTTGATTCGATCATAACTTTAAAAGGAATAAATAAGGTGACATTTGGGGGAAATTTGGAAGGAGGGGGAGAAGAAAAAATGTCAATATACTAGTTACATATTTTAAAATTCCGGTCTTTACACTGTTGCCAGCCTGGACTTTTCCGCTTCCCTTGAGATGTGCACATTTATTTCTAACCCTGGT